GTATCCGACCGGGTTTAACAACAGCAACCCAATATTCAGGGGATCCTTTTCCTGAACCCATACGTGTTTCTGCGGGTCGTACAGTAACTGGTTTATCGGGAAATATACGTACCCATATTTTTCCTCCACGACGTGCATTTCGTGTCATAAGCCCGTCGCCCAGCTTCTATTTGTCTAGATGTGATCCAAGCGGGTTCAAGTGCTTGAAGCGCATATTTACCGAAACAAATATGATTCCCTCGAGAAGCTATTCCCTTCATTCTTCCTCTATGTTGTTTACGGAATCTGGTTCTTTTGGGGTTATAGTTGATGGATTTTTATTTATTCCATCTCTACTACAGAACCGGATGTGAGAGTTTCTTCTCATCCAGCTCCTCGCGAATTACGAATAAAGTATTTACAAAATGAGCGTTTGACTCAAATTGACTAATCATAGTGAAGATATCTAAATCTAAAGATAGATAATAAAAGTCTGGACTGAGAAGTCAAAATAATATTTAGGGATTGAGTGATCTTTTTTTAAATCTATTTGAATTGAAATGAATTATTCTACAGTTTTTTCATGATTCTCTGAGTCTAACTAATCCTTCATTTTTGACTATTCTTTATATTGCTTTAGATTGAATATTGATTCTTTTGAAAAAAGTTTTCGCGGGCGAATATTGACTCTGTCAATTTAGATTTCATTTCTAGGACGAGTTTGTGACATCTTATAGCTAGTATCTAGAAATAAAATAATTTAACATTGGTTTATTCCGCCATCCCAGCCAGTGAATGTTTAAGATTTTTTTTTATTTCATCTTGAATTGAATTGAATCTTTTGTATTCTCATAAGTTCCGTCGTCCCCATCACTTCTTACTTAATGGTTAGGTCCTAATTTTACAATGGAGCTCAAATAGTAATAATATATGAATAATTTAAGTCTTTAGCCATTTTTCTTAGTCTTTATTGGCTTTAAGCTCTTGACTTTATTTTTTTATTTTATCTCTTCTATATTTAATATCTAATTGAATATTTATATATAGATTATAGATTTCTATAATAAGAGTATATTGTTTTTTATTATTGAATATTCTTAGATTTCTTATTCTATTTTAAATACTTTAATATGCAGAATTTAAGTATTAATGCTTCATTACATTGCCTGTTTTGTTAGACCCTACATATTGGAATTTTCAATCATTGAGCTTCTTTTTCTCCCTTTCTCTCTCCCTTCCAATTATCCACATCTTTTTTATATTTTGCTTCGCAACTTCAATAATATTTGAATACTATTTTTCGTTTATGCAAATAAATGGCAGTTGCTACAACGATATGAGCGGTAATCATATCGTGACTGGTTATTTAGATCCAGATAATGCGAAATTGATGAGTTAATTATTAGGTAATTTCTTCTCGAGTTAGTAGTTGTTACTTTGGGTTTGGTTTCATGCTAACCTTAAAAAATAAACGAGTCGCACACTAAGCATAGCAATGATATTTTTATTAAAAATAAATAAAATTTTTATTCAACCTTATAGAATTCATTATTATCAATTAGAACTGTTCCTGCTCATTACACAAAATAATTTGTGAAATGGCCGCTCGGTATTACAGGTAAAAAGAATGAATAAAATTTTATTGAGCTTGATCAAAAAATATCCAAATTTTTATGCCTAAAACCCCGTAGATAGTTCGAACTGAATAACAACAATAATCAATTTTAGCTTGAATAGTTTGGCGGGGAATTCTTCCTTCTCTTATCCATTCCACACGTGCAATTTCCTTTCCGTCAAGGCGTCCCGCAATTTGTACTTGAATTCCTTTTGTATCTGCTTGTTCAGCTAATTCAATAGCTTTTTTCATTGCTTTTCGAAAGGAAACTCTATTCTTTAATTGTCCAGCTATAAATTCGGCAAGAATATTAGGATTTCCATACGGTTTTTCAATTTTTGTGATAGCAATATTAAGTTTTCGGTTTACGAAATTTAATTTTTTTTGTAGAGCTTTTTGTAATTCTTCAACTCCCTGCGGGCTATTTTCAATGAATACTTTGGGAAATCCAATATAGATTATGACTTGGATTAGATCGAGTCTTTTTTTAATACATATACCTGCAATTCCCTCGGTACCCGAGGGTTTGATTCTATTTTTTTGTACATAATTTTTTATAAAAGCTCTTATCTTTTGATCTTCTTGCAGATTTTCAGCATACGTTTTTGGTTGCGAAAACCAAAGTGAATAATGGGCCTGGTTTGTACCAAGTCTGAAACCAAGTGGATTTATTTTTTGTCCCATAAATACCTCCTTTTCTGGATATCAGAATATGCTTTAGTTCTAGAATTTTTTTTCGCTTGTGGTTTTTTTAGCAAACCGAGCTCCACGGATTCAGAATCATTGAATGAAATATCTTTTAGTACAATAGTGATATGGCAGGTCGGTCTTTTTATTGGATAACTACGCCCGCGAGCCCGAGGTTTTAATTTCTTTCCAGCAGTCCCCTCATTAACTTCAGCTTGACTAATAACTAAATTTGCTTTATTTGAAGCCATAGTGTAACTAGCATTTGATGCGGCTGAATAAACCAATTTTAAAATTTGATAACTGGCACGATAGGGCATGAGTTCTAATATAATAAGTGTTTCTCCTCATAGGAACGCCCACGAATTTGGTCAATAACTCTTCGTGCTTTATTAGCCGACATAGCTATACGTCGACCTAAAACGTATACTTCTGGGGTTTTTTTATTTAGCATCTGGTACATAAAATTTGCCTCCTACTAATGACTTATAAGCATCAAAATATTTTTTAGTATTCACATTACCGATGAGATTTCTTATCATTTTTTGCATGTCCTCGAAAATTTAAAGTAGTTGCAAATTCTCCCAATTTGTGTCCGACCATATCATCCATTATATAAATAGGGAGATGCTCTTTCCCATTATGAATGGCAATAGTATGACCAATCATTATTGGAATAATAGTAGATCCCCGGGACCAAGTTATTATTATTTCTTTTTCTCCCTTTGTGTTAAGTTTCTCAATTTTTTTTAATAATTTATGAGCTACAAAGGGATTTTTTTTTAGTGAACGTGCCACAGTTTACTCCTATAAATTTTATTATTCTTTTATTTTTTTATTTTTCATATAATTGAATGAATAAATTTAATTTGTTCTATTATATTAATTTTTATACTATATATATTACATTAAGTATATTCACTCTATTAACTATATTATACTATTATATTAACTGCGGTGACGAAGAATGAGCTTCTCACTATATTTATTCCTCTTTCTAGTTTTTCTTCCAAGTGCGGGATAACCCCAAGGGGTTGTAGGTTTTTTTCTCCCAATAGGAGCTCTACCCTCACCGCCCCCGTGTGGATGGTCTACGGGGTTCATAACTACTCCTCTGACTACAGGACGCTTACCTAGCCATCGTTTAGCTCCAGCTCTACCCAAATTTTTTTGGTTGAACCCAACATTCCCGACTTGTCCTATTGTTGCGGAGCAGTTTTGGGATATAAAACGGACCTCGCCAGAAGGTAATTTTAATGTAGCTGATTTACCCTCTTTTGCAATCAGTTTCGCCATTGCACCCGCTGCTCGAGCTAATTGTCCACCCCTTCCACGTGTAATTTCTAGGTTATGTATAGTCGTGCCTAAGGGGATTTCGGTCAAAGGTAGGGCATTTCCAATTTTGATTGAAACATTTGTACCAGAAACAATGGTATCTCCAATTTGAGCCCCTCTCGGATGTAAAATATACTTCTTCTCACCAGTCTTATAATGTATTAGACAAATGTTTGCATTTCTATTAGGGTCATATTCTATGGTTATGATTCTACCATATAGGTCTTTTTCATTCCGTCGAAAGTCTATTTTACGGTATAGGCGCTTATGACCCCCCCCCCTATGCCTTGCTGTAATGATTCCTCTAGCATTACGACCTTTACCACAATGATGCTTTCCAGAGAGCAAATTTTTTCTTCGAGCAAATTTTGGGCTGTTTACGGTTTCGCTCGGGTTATAAGTTTTGTATAATTGTATTCCCATGATATAAATGATTTTTATTTTGGATTTAAAGTTTATTTGTTTGGAGGTGTAAGCCAATGTCTAATGATCTGCGGTAGCCATTGCATTATATGTCCTCTAATAGGGAGGGCCTACCATTATGTGACCCTTTGCCAGAAGCGTAGCACTACTCAAAGTTTATGACGTGGATTTCAAAAAAAGTCTATTTATTATTTTTTAATAACTAAATTCTTTTTTTTAATATTATATCTTTTATTCCATCCCGAATTTTAATTCATTCCGTATTATTTTAAGTTGAAATAAAAATGTTAATTTTGAGTGTTGATAGAATCTATCTATATCTCTAATATAGAGATAGATTCTCTATATGTATCGGTATCCTAGAATTATCTATTATGATATATGAAATGGAAATAGTCAACATGAAATCTATCTAGGAACATATATCTTCTATGATATTTGATATGGACAAATCTATCTAGGAGCATATATCTTATATGATATTTAATATGGATTATGAAGGAAATGCTCAAAGTAGATCTATGCTAATATATATCCTAAAATATAACAAAAATATCATAAAAAGAAGAATTGGAGGGTCAATGAGATTTTGTGTAAATAACTAATAGTGCTAATAGTGTGCATCCAGTAGGAATTGAACCTACGACTTCGCCAATTATGAGTTGGGCGCTTTAACCACTTAGCTATGGATGCTTAAACGAGACCATCATCTATAAAAATTGAAAATTAAAATATAATAATTATGGTAATTATGAATCTTGGAATTGCAAATAAAAAAAAATGATATTTTATTTTATATGATAGGATATGATAGGAATAGAGAATCTAATATTCAATATCGAATTACAGCAAAAAATATTACATAAAAAAATGTCGTTTAAATAAAGAATTTCGGAAATCTGAAATACTAAACAAAGACTCTATTTATCATTTCTATTTTTACATTAAATAGTCAATAGTCAATTATATAAAACAAGTACTTAAAATTTTTGCATAAAATCTTATGGAGGTATGAGATGGAACCTAAGCAAAACAAGTTCTGGATTCTAGAATTACGAGAGATACTGAGAGAGATTAAAAAATCAAAATATTTTTTAGATTCATGGACCCAATTGAATTCAATCGGATCTTCCATTCATATTTTAGTCTCCCAAGAACGGTTTTTAAAACTGTTTGACCCACAAATTTGGAGTCTTGTACTTTCACCTAATTTGCAGGGTTCAAAAAGCAATCGATCGGTCAAGATTAAGGGAGTTTTACTAGTTTTCGTTGGCGTTGTTATCTTTATTTATCGTATTAGCAATCAAAATATGGTTGAAAGAAAAAATCTCTATTTAAAAAGACTTTTTCCTATACCGATGAATTGCAGTGAATCCATAACTGATCAAGATAGTGGTTATTCTACTCTAAATCGATTGAGTATTTTACTCCTTTCTTTTCCAAAAGGCA